TAAACTTTCACATACAATGCTTAGTATAAGTGTTCATTTTACGGTTTTTCCTCTTGGAGAGACAAGTGAAAAGAGCTGACTTTCTTTTAACTTGGAGGGGAAGAAATACATCCTGTTAAGATTATTTTGGGTACCTACAAATGCCCAGAACTTAGAAACAACACTGCTGAACCTTACATAAACGTGTGAGTGTCTTAAATTTTTGGTAAGCTGTTCCTTGTAGCCACACAGCATTCCTGGGGGCACTTTTGGTGGTGTGTCCATTTGAAAGCAAATGCAGAGTCTTCTGACTTTTTCCCAGTTCCATGTTTTTGCGTAGGGTCATGGGTTTGTTTTGTTGTTACTCCATAGCTTCTCACTCTGCTCTTTGGGCTGCTGAGACTGGGAATGCTGTAAATGTGTGTGGTCTTGGCTCCTGGTTTACTCCACATCCCAGTGTTTAAGGCTTTTGCACCTCCCTTTTCAGGGATTATCTCATGGTGCAGGATGGACCCTGGATGGATCTGTAGACTTTTCTCTAAACACTGCAGTTGCTGAATGCCTTCCTTGCCATGGGTAGGCACTGGAGAAGAGAAGTTTGTTTCAAATTCCCACAATTTAAATATAACCTTTACTTTTTTTTTTATTGGACCCTGGTACTCTGTGGAAGCCATTTTAGTGGAGTAACAAGGTTGGATCAGTGTGGAATATCTTCCAAACAGTGTCTTCCAAAAGTTCCTGGATTGCCCATAGCTGATGTTTCTCGTGGATCTTGGATATTGTAGAAGTTCCACAGGATTATTTACAGGCTCTTTAGATTTTGAAAAAAGAAACAGAGATCTAAATTTCTTGCACCACAGCATGGAAAATAGGTATTTTGATTCTTCCTGAAGTAATTCAGATTATCCTGGTTACTGGTGCCAGAAAGATGATGATTACAGAATTGAAAATACTGTAGGACTGCTTAAAATCATGGTGAAATTATTCAGACACAACAGGAAAAAAAAAAAGTTTATGTAGGATGTTTAGACACAGGTGCAAAGTTGTTTCCTCATACTTTACTGATACTCTGAGTGCATTTCCAGCTGATGCTTCCAGAGCTCTATATTCCCAAGCAAGCAGAGCCTTTGAACATCAATAATACATCAATAGTGGCACAATTAGCAATTTCCAAGGGGTGGGGGAGGCTTGGAAAGGGCTTGTTCTTTGCCATTAAGCTTTTCCCTGTTTCCATTTCAGCCGTGTAGGGATGTAAAGCCAGGCATGACCCAGCTGCTGCTCTCCCGTCCCAATCCCTGTAGCTTTCCCATGGCCCAGATGAGTGTTGAGTTTATTTCCACGTTTGTAATGTCATCTCCATATGATTCCTGTTCTCCCCTTCTTTCCTGCTGTATAGATTCCTAAAGGAAAGTCCAACTGTTCATTTCCTAAAAACTCTACTTTGTAAGTCTCTTGTCATGGCTCACTGGAGTTTTCAGTGTCAGTTTTCCTGTCACTAACAGTGCCTGCCTCTGTCACCCGCTGCTGACAAATGCTTGTGTCCCTGCTGCCACTCCCGTGGCACCTGTCCCCCTGCCCAGGGATGATGTGCTTGACTAAGATCCAGAGTAACTCACATGTTTGGGAATTGAGCTGCAGACCTGGATGGATGGATAGAAGAATATTTGGGCATGGGAAGTACTTCACAGTGGCCTGGTAGAGGAGTATTTGCTGAAGTGTGTTGGTTAGAGCATGCTCAGATCTTCTAATCTGGGTTAGGGCCTCTGCTTTCCTCTCTTAAATGATCTGATGTAGAATTCTATCTATAAACTTCATTGTTGTTGAATGTCTTGTGTTCCTAGGCCCCCTTTTATAAAATCTACTTCCTGTTGTACCTGGTGGTAATCCTAAATCTGGACATGCTCTGAGCAAACATTCTGGTTATCTGCTGGAAGTTATCAGTCTCATTTGATTGGGTTTTATTGCAAATTAAGTTTTTAATTACTAGTGTCTATTTATTGCCCTTAAGAGTCTCATCTTATGTGGTTACAGATAATTGCAGGCGATTTTTTCAGCTTCACTTATCAATTAAGTGATTTGTGCATGTGTGGTGGCACCAGCTGGGGTACCTGGAATTTGCCAGTTGCAGCAGAATTTTGGCAAAGCCCTGCAGAACGTGTTGCATGAGGTTCCCAGGGGCAGCTGGAATGTAACCAAACTGCAGGAGTCTCATGGACAGACCCCATTCCACTGCATGGTTGAACAGAGACATTAATTTCCACAAGATGTTTTCCTATAATAACCTCAAGCCCAGGGTTTCTTGTCAGGTTGGACTTGCAGTAGGGTGTTTTATCATACCTTTGGTAATTCCTGCCATCAGTGTAACTGTACAAAATTGCCTGAAGTACTTTGCTGTTGAGATTTGAGTGGGCTTGGACATAAAAAGATAAATGGTTTGGGGAAGGGATCTCCTGTTCCAAGGATGTTGATCCACAGCTGTTGCCATGGTTTCTGCCTGGGCTGTCCAGCCCTGGCTCAGCAGGACTGCTCACCTGCGTGGTGTCAGTTTTCAGGGCTGGGTTTGTTTGTCCTCACGTGTTCTAATGGCCTGGCTGCAGTTGTGTGTGAGGGTGCAGGTAATTCCAAGGCTTAATTTCCATGGGAACGCTTCACTCTGGAGCTGGCAGTGTGGAGTGGGAGAGTGAGCGTGTATTGCATGAAAATATTAATCTCTAGATGCTTGTTAAACTGTTCAGCAGCTCTCAGTTTTAAATGGTAACATTTTCCTTCCTTCTTCCCACTTCCACAGGTGAAGAACAGAATAAAGAAGCATTGCAGGATGTGGAAGATGAAAACCAGTGAGACACAAAGGCCAACAAGAGAACCCATCTCTGACCACCCTTCCCCTTCCCCACAAAAACCCTCAGTGTCACTCTGAGAACCACCAAATCTGACTTTTACATTGGGTCTCAGAATTTAGGTTCCTGCCCTGTTGGGTTTCTTTATTTTTATTTTTTTTACACAGTTTAAAAGTTCTTAAAGGCAAGAGTGAATTTCTGTGGATTTTACTGGTGCCAGCTTTTAGGTTCTTTAAGACACTAACAGGACTGCATAAAGGCTCTTTCAGCATTACTGTATTGTCTCTGCCAGCTGTGGTGACATTGCCATCAGACCTGGATGTGACACCTGAAGGCCGTGTAGGGAGAGATTGGTCCTGGCCAGGTAGTGCTTATGTGGTGGCATCTTTCTTTTTTTTATAACTGTTTAAACTGAATTTTATACCAATGTTTCAACTTAATTGGGTGTTTAGCTTGAAGTTACGAGGTTGCATTTGGGACATTTATTGTAGTGGTTTTACTGTATAAAAACAAAAAGTTTCCAAACTGCTGAAATGTTGCTGAAAATCATGGTGCTGGTAACAGTTCAACAATCCGTGGCTGCTCATTCTTGCCTGTTCTTTACTTTCCCTCCAAGCAGGTTAGCATTGAAGGTGGCATTGATAAGCCTGCATGCGTGTTCAATATTTTTTCTTTTCTCCCTCCCCTCTCCCCATCTCCCTTCGCTCGCTCAACCTCTTTTGTTCAGTATGTGTAACTTGAAGCTAATTTGTACTACTGGATATCTGACTGGAGCCACAGATACAGAATCTGTATTGTTCTTACTGAAACACAGCATGGAATTAACATTAAACTTAAATAAAACAAACCTAAATTAAAAATGCCAACCATCACTATGAATTTCTTTTGGAAGATAACTTTCCTTTGTTACTTGTACTAGGAACAGTTGGAGGGGGAGAGAGCAGCAGGAACAGCCTTGTTCTTCAGACAGGAGCTAAGGAAGATTTGGTCTGAGCGTGAGTTGTGCTGCTGGGAGCAGTCTTTTTATCCAGTCTTTCCCTATATAAATGCCTGGGAAATGGTTGGTGAATTCCTCTCATCTGCTGTTCTAGCATTTCTCACCCAGTGCAGGTCCATGGAGGGGGAGAAGGGACAGAGGTTTTCTGCTCTGCTGGGAATAACCTGCTCCTTGGAAAGGACAGGGCCTGGGGTCAGCCTCCCCCTAAACCACAAAAGGAAACTGCACCAAAGACAAGGAAGGTTGATTTTTTTTGTAAAAATTTATTCAGCGTAGTCTGGCAGAGGTTAAACACCAACATCTGCAGCGTGCTCTGCACACACTGAGCACATCTGGGGGATGGCCTGCAGTGTATCCCACATTCCAGCCTGGAGCAGGGCTGGACAGTGGCATTGAGTCAGGAACCAGAGCAGAGGAGCCGGAGCTGAGGGGGGGAGGGGCAGTGGTGGGCGAGAGTCATCCAGGGCTGGCTGTGGCTGCAGCAGGATGGAGGGGAAGGATGTCTAAGGCAAGCAGAGCAGGATGCACAGGCTGGGCTGTGGCACCTGTGCCATGGATGCAGCAGGATTTCCCCATGGAGCCGTGCACCCTGCAGCTGTTGCTGTTAAAGGAGGGTGCTGGGGAGGAACCTGTGCTGCAGCCAGCACCCAGCCTGTTTCCCTGGAGCTGTGGGGCAGCAGCAGTGCCCAGCTCTCCCTGGTAAGGCAGCACTGAGGCACTGGTATAAATACTGTGGGAATCAGACTTCCAGTTATGGCTAGGAACAAAAGGAAAAGCCATTTTTCCTCAAGGTGCTGCTTGGAGCCTGTGGAGCTGTGTGGGGAAGGGCAGTGGGGATTCCCAGACAGGGAAAGGCGTGGGGAGAAGTTCATGTACATCCCATGGCCAGCCCAAGAGCAGTGGTAACCTCTGCATTTTGTATTGCATTGTGTTTGTGTGGATATGAAAAATTCCTATGGTATAAAAATAGAGAGCAAGAAATGGGACAGCTGACTTCAAAAAAAGATAAAAGTCTCTGGCTCCTGATCAGTGAAGAAGTTACATGATGGATTTTTCAGGTTATACCTTGTAACCAAAAACTAAAAACAACAAAAATTCCAAATCTAAAACATAAAAGTTTCCACATCAACTCCATCTCTGGTAGTGCATCTCATCCTTGGCTATAAAGTATTTACAGGTTTTACTCATTTACACAATATGGCTTCACTATATTTGTAACACAAAGCATTAAAACATCTCCGAGCAAAATTCTTCATAAAACATTCTGAATACAAAGTTTGGCATTTCAGTGATTTGGCTGAGAAAGCAGCAGAGTTACTTGTTTTCTGATTGTGCTTTTTTTTGGTGATGATAAGCACAAATTTTGGTCATTTCCATCAGGGCTTAAACTCTCCCTCAAAGCAGGTCCTGAGCTGTGGTTGCAGGGATGCTGGACCCCACGTTCAGTCAGGTAAGGAAGAGAGGAGAAGGCCTTTGTTTGGGAGTCTTGAGAGTAAGACAAGAGAGCAAGGATGTATTTTGTGGTTGTTCTGAAAGTGCAGATCTTTGGTAATAACAGAAAGAGCAAAGCGAGGAAGAGGGGGTTTGCTGGGAGCAACGTTCAGCCAATTCCGTGGAGGGAAAGGTCCTGGAGCAGGGAATTTTTCATCATCGGGAATTCAACCGAGGAGCGACCTGCAGGAGAAGGACAGGTTTGAAAGTGTGTTCAAAATGCTGCAAAAGTTTTAATTCCTCAACATGCTGAGGCTGGGCAGAGACTCTGGTCCTAATGGGAGCTCTCAGCTCTGCTGGGAGTCAGTGCAGTCTGGATTTGTTCTGGATTTATTTCTTAGTATTTCTCAGTATTTCTGAATAAGTGCATAAAATCAGCTGTGGATTGCCAGGACCACTACAAACAAGCTGAGAAGGGGAAATTTTGTTTGAGGTTTTTAAATGTATTTAAAATTTGATTTGCTACAATCTTGGGGGGTTGGAAATAAAAAGTGAGTGCCAGGGCAGTCCCTCGTTGTGTGTGAGGGAGTTTGGCAGCCCCTCAGGGCTGCAGGAGCCCTGTGCTCAGCTCCAACTGGGGGAAAGGCTGGGATAGCAGGGCACTGCTGTTGGCAGGAACATCCCATGGCATGTGTCCCTTGCTGGAGTGCTGGTTGGGATCCAGGGTAAGTGATCCCCAGCCCACACTCACCACTGTTAGATGCCCGTTCTTGGCTTTGGCTATGAGCAGTTCTGATCCCGAGATGAAGTCAATGATCCCTTCTTTGCCTTGTCCCACTGTGAACTTTATGCTGTGGAGAGCAAAGGGTGAGAACAGCCCTGGTGAGTGTGTGGGACTCTCCAGGAGCTGGGTGTTAACAGAGCTGCACCAGATATGTGCTGGAGGCTTGGTTGAGGTGGACTGGGTACATTTGGATGGGGTAGAGAAAGAAGCAGAGCCAAGGCAGGGCCCTGGTGTCACTCACCTGCCCTGGTTGATGTTGATGTTGTTGATTTTGTTGGCCAGAATGGCTGCTTTTGTCAGCGTCTCAATCACGTGGTCACTCTGCAGGACAACATCTCCCTGGGAGGAGAGTCCATGCTTTAGGATCATGGCTTTGGGGTCACTGTACCAAAACTACCCTGCTGAAAGGGACAGGGGACAGGGACAGCACCAAAGGGGGCGAACAAGCACTGCTGAGCCCCAGTTTTCCCAGAGGGAAATAGCAATGAAAGAGCTGGTACAAAGTCACATCCCTGTCACCTTGTCACCCTCCTTCCCAGCTGCATGTGCTCCCTGGGCCTTTCACCCTTTCTCCAGAGGGGGCTGGAGGAGGGAGGGATGAGCCCCCGGTACCTTCTGCTTGTTGTCCTCACAGTGCACGTGCAGCACAAACAAGTTGTCACTCAGGCTGCTGACGGAGATGCCTAGGGGGGGGAGAGGGGAGCATCACCCACTGCTGGGAGCTGGGGAGGGCTCACAGCCTCTCCCAGGAATGCAGCAGCTGTTCCCACACAGCTGCCAGGCTGCAGGGGGCTGAGGGGAGAGGCTTCAGCCCAGGGCTGCAGGGACCATGCTTCAGAAGGCTTGGCAGTTTCCCCCTCCCTAAGAATCCGGTCCCTGTCAGATAATTCTGAGGACCAAAAGCTGCAGCAGTGGCCCAGGCTGCTGCTGTGCAGGAATGGTGCAACTCCCCCAGGGCCAGGCCCTGCAACTGGGAAATCAACTCGGGGAGAGTTGAGGGAGATGAATTGAGTAATTTTGGTGATATTTTATGGAGCTTCATTTTAGAGAAACAGAATTTCAAGACACTAAAATGCTTGCCAGGATTAGCTTATCTGTTCTTGTCCAGGACAAGGACAAATTGGAGTTTGTAGTGGTGCATACTGAAGTGCAGCTGAGGTGCAGGGTCAGGGGAGTGCCCAGCCCCATCCCTGTGCCATTCCCACCTGTCAGGTTGGAGTAGTCGATGCGCTGCTTGATCTTGGACTCCTCCACGATGATTGCCGAGCTCTGGGTGAGCAGCAGCTGCCGTGACCTTGCCTTGTAGCCCTTCCTGTCGTACTTGACCACAGGCACTGCGTACTGAAACACGAGTGAGCAGGGCCACATCCCACCTGGGGCACTGCCAGCCCCCAGCAGGCACCAACCAGGGCTTGGGAGACCAGGAATGGCCAAAATCCTCTGTGCCAGAACTTCCTCGCTGCCCCAGAGCAGCTCTGGACACAGCCTAGTGGCTGCACTGCCTGGGGACTGGGAAACGCAGGTTTGGGGTCTCTCTGGGGCTTTCCCCCTTCCCCTGCAGCTGTAACCCATTCAGTTCTTAACAGACATCATTAAACTGCCCAAATCTCCACTATCCTCAAAAGTATTGCAAGCTTAATACAACACAAAATGCCTGCTGTACTTCCTCCAGAAATCTAATCTGCCCCTCTGCTGAATACCTGGGGGCTTGACAAAAGTATTGGAACACATCTCTCACCTTAAGTGCTTCGTTTGCTAATGCCTGAAGGACTTTAGTATTTATTTCTTCTCTACCTGTATTAAAACCAAAGAGGTGGGGAGGTCAGAAAGGAATTTCCAGCAAGAAAAGAGTTCATTAATCCCTCCCCTTCCTTTTTTCTCTTCAATTTGGCAACCCCCACTCACCCAGTCGAGTGTTGATGAAGAGCCTGGGAACACTCTGAGGATAATTGTCTTTTTTACCCTTGAAAATCTCACTGGCAATTACTTTCTGTTCCAACTGCAAGGACAAAAGAAGTTTTCTTGTTTAGTATAAAATTTCTCATTAAAAAGATACATTGGTGTTAGAAGAGATGTTCCCTTTGTGGTTTTAGTCATCATTTAGTTCGTGTTTGGATGAGGAGTCACCCTAAACTTGCAGTCCCTGGAGGTGGCAGAGCTGCAGCCCCTGGGCTCCTTTGCTCCAAGAACAAACCAGGGACTGGGAAAGTGGGAAATCCCCACTGCTGTACGTGGGGCCAAGGCTGTGACACAGGACAGGGCCCCTGGGATGATTTACAAGGGAAAAATGGGGATAAAAGAGGCTCCTTATCAGTGAGTCTGGTTTGCTGGGGGAAAGCAGCTGCTGAGCTGAGTTAATCCCCTGTCCTTAATCACAAGCTCAGCCCCAGCCTTTCACTCCAGGTGTCCCTGCACTGCAGAAGGTGAGAGATCGTGCAATAAAAAACCTTGGCAGTTAAAACCACCATTTTATTTAATACAAAAACTCCCTCCCCCTACCTTTCCATGAGATGAATTAAATCTCAGTATCATTTTTATTCTTTTTAGAATAAAGAATTAGAATTTTATTCTTTTTAGACAGAGCAGCTGAAATTGTAACTTCTGTTTGGAAAATGGCTGGGTTTGTGTCTGCAGGATTCTTACTCTCCACTTTACATGGTACAGGCAGAATAATGCAGCTTCTTATATTTTTAGCTTCCATGGGCAGAGTATCAGGGCCTTTCAATAGAGAAATTATGTAGGGGCTTGGCTCCACTGCCTATTTAAATAGTACCTATTGAAATATGTATAGAATGGGGTCTCTTCTATGCACATTCCAGGCTTTTAGTGTTTTGTGTCTAACTTAAACCCAAATCAGTGCCACTGTTCCTGTGGCACCCCAGACAGCAGCGATTCACAGCCCTCCAGCTCCCCACTGCTGCCCTGAGTCCCAGGGCAGGGCCCTGGCCCTCTCTCCCATCCAGCTGCTCCTCTCCTCCATTCCCTGGGAGTTCTGCCCTTGGGAATGTCGGGGAAACCCTGCCAAGGTGCCCCTCACCTGCTGCTTCCACTCAGGGCTGATCCTCTTGCAGTAGGTCCAGACCATGTTCTGCATGCAGAGCCTGCGCAGGAGCTGCGACGCCTGCAGGGAGCCCACGGGAGAGAGGACGGCTCAGGGCTGGGGACAAACCCTCAGGGACAGAAATCCAACGGGGACAGAAACCCAACAGCCCAGAACCTCTGACAAACCCAACAGGAACAAACCCAACAGCCCAGAACACTGATAAACCCAAGAAGGTGGAACTTGAGAGGGACAAACCCAACAAGGACAAAACCCCGACAGCCAAGAACCACTGACAAACCCCACACAGCAGCAGCAACTGCAGAAAATGCACTGCTGGGTTAAAAAGCTGTTTCCTGACCAAGAATTAAATAATAAGTAGTTGATTTTTTGCCTTTCTCTATGAGGTTTTGCCCTGGGATTTCTCTGGCTGCTTTAGAATGGGGAACAAACACCAGGATCCCTCCTCTCTGCACTGCTGTGCCCTTCCTTCCTTCCAGCTCCTGCCTTCAATCCAAACAATTCTTTGGATAAGGTAACTGGGATTTTCTATCAATATTTTGTTTTGAGCAGATAAACCAATTCAAGGAGATGCAGAATAATAACAGCAACAGAGAGAACTGAATTCGTTAAAAATTGAAGGGAATTTCAGAAATGTATGAAAAACCCAGGAGAAAATGGTGTTGCAACAGCACCACACTCCAAGAATCTGCAATCCTCTAGGCCTGGATTCCCCTCCCACATCCCAGGGCTCATTCCCACCTCACAGAGTGATGGGGGAGGAGTTGGCCATGATTTGTCCAAGACATTTTTTGGTAGGTTCCTCTTGAGGTTCATCAGGAAGGAGAATCGGATGTAATCCAGGAAATACTCATTCTCTGGGCACCGCGGGTGGTTCCGGTAAATGAAGCCTTTAATGAACCTGTGGGTGTGGAAAATATTGTAAGAAAATTTAAAAAGTCATCAAAATTAGTGGTATTTAAAGGTTCCATTTCCTGGGGTTTATTTAATAGTTGTAATTTATTTTAAAAAAACCTCTGTAGTGACAAGAAAGCTTCTTTTTAGCACATTATTGTTAAGGAATGTGATGTTTGATGGCTTGGGCTGCTCTTCACACACCTCCTGATTGTTTCCACTGCCCATTTCCTCTTGGCAGCTTTTCGGCGTCCCAGGGTTCCCCTCCACCAGGACTGGATGGTGATGGCTAAAAAGAACACAAAGATTTTGCATTGAGGGAGCTCCTTCATCCCCAAACTGACTCCACACAAAAGTGGCACCAAAAATGCTTGGGAAAACCCACTCTGGAAACAACCAGTTTTCAGTGGGGCATGGGGGCAAGAATATGAGTTTTTAATAAGATACATGGGATAAATGTCAGTAAAAGGATGGGAGCTGCTGGGGGAGCATCTCTCCCTCTTTCAGTGTCCCTCATACCTGAGCGTTTCATGGTCAGGAATTTCTTCCGGCGGTAGAAACCTCTCCACGTCGCCTGCATTTTTGTGGCTGGAATTGCAAGAAAAGCAGCAATTTGCAACTGTGACCAAGCACATTTTGGTAGAAAAAGACTCACCTTTCTAAATAGAAATCCACTGCAAGTGTGAGTGCCTCACCCAGACTCTGCTTCCTCACTTCCAGAGCATCTTCTGTCGCAAACAAGGTCTTGGGAAAGCGGATAAAAATCTTTGTTCTGGAAATAGAAATACAGAACTACATTTTACATGCTGGAGCAACTTGCTTTTGGCATCCCCTTTGGGCTCTGTAATCTTTCCCTCCCCCATTATCTGGAGAAGCTTTATTTCAAAGGGACAACAGGGACATGCAGTGATTCATAACCTCAAATTGAGAACACAGAACTGACCGTCCCATTTTGTATTCTTCTGGTTTGTAGCCAAGATGCTTCACCAGCACAGCCACCCCATCGTAGGGCCGCCCATCCCACGTGGGCCACGTCTCTGGACACAGGGATTTGTACCTGGGAATTGGCAGGAGAGGAAATCTTAGGGAGAGAATCCAAGGAGGGAGAGGGGTCACGAGAAGGGAGAGAGCCCAAGCTTCCCAGCCCTCTAGGTGGTAAATCTTCCCCTGTGCTGTTCCAAACAGCTCCCAGCCTCAACATCAATGGGATGAAGCTCAGAGAGAGGGAGCAGCAGAGGAAAGAATTCCAAAGCAGCTTCACCTCTGCAGGAAAACCTCGTATTTTCTGCGGTAGGCGAAGCCGGCTCTGCGCACACGGAGGTTCTCCATCAGCCCCAGGTACTTCACCTGGTGTCGGATCAGGACTTCATCAAACCGATCTTGGAAATGGAGAAACACAATCAGTGCACAGCTGCCCCGTGGTCTAGAGAAGGGGAATGTTCAGCTCTTGTATCTCACACAATTATCTCTAACCTCCAGTGAATCCTCACACTATTTTGTGTCTCCTGCCTTCCCCCATCCCACCCCTTTTTAATTATTTATATTCAGCTCCAAAATGAAGTTTTCCTTTGGGATGTTTTATGCATAGAGGAACAAAAACTGAGGGAGAATTATCAGTCATTATACTGAATTTACATAGGTCAGTAATTCTTTACTGTAACCACAACCTTCCTCTACACCCAAGAGCAGCGCTCCCATTGTGGCTCCTGGCTGCTGGCACTGCCACCCCTCCTCACAGAAGCTCAGGCACAGACCCAAAATGAACCCAGAATCGTGCAGGGCTTCATCAGGCTCCTTTCTGTGCCTCCCTGACTGGGATGCAGTGCTCTGCCTCTGTCCCCAGGGCCGTACCAGCCTGTTTGGCATCGTTGGGTTTCATGCAGCGAATGTAGGAGGGTTCTTTGGACATCAGGATTTCCATGAGCTTGGAGAGGCTGTTTTTGAACTGAGTTGCTGCCTAGGAGAAAAAAAACAACAACAAACTACATGTGAAGGGATGACCTGACCAGTAGAATATGATGTGAGGGGCTTGAATTCAGATCATGTCAGAGGGCTCATGTTTTAAAAAGAGCCACAGCCCCCTCCAGCTCTTGAGGTCTCACCGTTTCAGGTCTTTTTTTGTCTGTCAGCTCTGTCCTATCAAAGCACTGGTTTATGATGGGGTTCTCTGAGTTGCACATGGTCTGCAGAGAGAGATTTTTTCACAGATGAAGTACAGAGAACTACCAGAGAAACCCGAGGACAAAACTAAAATAACAAAATGAATATTGGGATTTCAATCAGCCTTTTCAGAGCGCAGCCCTGTGGGCACACAGCCTCCAGGTGGAATCTAGAAGAATCCTTTCCCTCAGGTACCACCTCATTTTAAACCCAACTCCTCATTCTGTCCTGGAAACCTCCTCTCTGCACACTCACCTCCTTCAGGTTCCGGAAGAGAAGGTCATTGTTTTTATCTAGAAAACCTGGAAGAAAAACAAACCACTCAGGCTGTTCCACTGGAAATTCAAGACAGGGATTGGAGATTTGAAATTGATCTGGTTGATCAAATGGTGTGAGGATTTATTTTAGGCCCAGATTTTTGGTTTTTCTGTGTTACCTGCAACACTGTAGGTGACATCCCCAGCGTAGTGCGAGAGCCGGAACTCCTCCCGCCCCAGTGACTTGCGCGTCTTTTGGTCAGCGAGTTTGTGCCTGTGGAGGGGGAGCAAAAACCTTCAGGAGAAATAAAATCCTGCAGGAATCTCTTCAAAAAGCACCAGGACATTCAGTCCTGGAGCGGGACTGTGCAAAGGTGAGTGAGGAATGTAAACTGGACTTGGTGATTTTCAGGTAAATGAAGTTACCAACCAGCACGTCATCAACACAGCAGTGTCATTAAATGCATTTATGTCTAATTAAAAGGGGAATTTCAGTGTTTCTTGCAGAGTGTTTCTGTGTGCACATAAGATGTGGACATCCTAAACTGAGCATTCAGAAAAAACAAACATTTGGAGCTCCAAAACTGAAATAAATAACCTGCAAGGTGAGAGGTGAGTCAGAAACAAGAGTTTTGTTGCCCCTATTACATTCTGAAGCTCAGTCAGGCACTTAGTGTTGACAACCTATTTTATATTATCTTAAATACTGATCAAATCTCTTTGAAAAAGAAAATTACCATCTTTTATGTGGGGCCCAGCACGGTGAGGATGTTATCCACACACTGGAATCCCTCAGTGAGGGAACACTCACGTGAGAAAATGAGGGTGGTTCTTCACAGTCTCCTCCAGTTTCTCCAAGAATGTCGTGTCTGTGGCATCCCCAGGTCTCAGACACTCCTCATCCTACAAACACAAATTCCAGGGATTTCTGACCTCACTGAAACTCTGCCCCAGTTTGGCCCTTTGGCCTTTCCACAGGTGACTATTTTAGCTGAATAAATGAAGAACTCTTGAGCTGAAAAGGAAAACATTCCCCTCCTTCCAGACTGCCTGGACTGAGAGCTGCTTTCCCCAGAGTCCATGGAGGTGATGCAGTGACTTTTTAATGGTGTCACTGTTCAGTGTATTATTGCTCTTCCCACCTACTCAAACACTTTGAAACATAAACTGATTTCTTCCCATGTTTTCCACTACACTGCCCACTACACTGCCTGAAATTTTTCATTCAAAAAGATGTTTTCAACTCACCAAAATAGAAATGATTCCTTTGAATTTCTCTTCCACCAAATCACAAATTATTTTGTTATTGAAATACTGAACTGGTTCCCACTGCAAAGACAAGAAATCACACTTAGGTGAAAACAACTCTAGACTGGAAGAGAAACATGTAAATTTCAGAACATTTCAGAGAGCACCTGACTTAAGCAATCTTTCTGTCAAAGCTTTTTCACTCATCACATTTGTTTTCCTAACATTGCCTTTATTAAAATCAGGGTAGAAGCTTGGGATGGCATTATTCACTTCCAGCTGTCTAACACATTTACCAGGGTTTCAAAAAGAAAGGGAAAAAGGAAAGTTCTTTAATTCCTTTATTTGGGGATGATGGCAGCAGCTCCTTTTCCCTCTGGGAGGAGAGGCAAGGGAAGATTTGGGCTCTTACCGCGATGCCCTCGGACTCGTACTCCTCTTGCTCTGACTTCAGGGTGAGCTCTATAAAGAGCTGCTGCAACTTTTCATTGCAATAATTAATGCAAAACTGCTCAAAGCTGCAAGGGAAAATCAGAAGAACAATCACTGTTTGTACAGAAGGAGGTACAAACAGTGGGAGCAGCAGGGATACAGTAAATCAAGAGAAACAGATTTTTGTGTTTATTTGCTCACTGTATGCATTTAGTGAGTTTATTATTTAGGGAAACACAAATAGTTCCAGAAGGAGGGAAAAATGGACATGAAGGATGGAACATGGAGGAACACAAAAACTTTGAATACAGGCCCAATAACACTGCAAATTTGAGAGTCTTGGTTCAGTGCTACCTGCCAGGGAGGTTCCAGACTCTGGCAGTCCCATCCCCTGGTTTGTCACCACCATGGGAAGATGCCACAAGAGCCACCCCTGGGCTGGAGAGCTGGACAAAGGCCCAGCTCAAGGTAAGCCACGAATACACCCCAAACCCAACAGTTTATTTAAAATACCAGGCCCATTAATAGCTGGAAATGCTAATTATTAGGTGGATGTCCTAAGTGTTAGAAGCCCTGTGATGATCAGTTTTTCACCTGATGTCCTGACATTTAAATGCCACCTTTTACTAAGAAATGGAATAAAGCCTTGTGTGACAAGGCAGAAAAAACACTGTAACTGAATAATGTAATTCAGAATGTATCAAAACAAACCTGTTGTGCTGGAAAACCTCAAACCCATAGATGTCCAGCAATCCTAGAACTGTTGTACTTCTCCAGCCTGGAAACTTCTCTTCCTGCAACAGAGAGGAAAATAAATGTAGATATTTACTCACAGCTGTGACCCATCCCTGGATCACCACCATTTAATCCCAGCGTCTACTGCGCAATTTGGAAAACAAATTAATTTAGAAATTACTAAAAGCATGAAACTTTGCAGCTGGAAGATTTGGAAATTGCTTTCACGTTTGGCTGGATATCAACAAACAGAAGGTTCACTTGCCTTGTAAGCCAGGGATTTGTTGACCTTGTTGACCAGCCAGGAGAAGGTGCGGCCGTAGACGGCCTTGGCCAGGGCGTCCCTGGCGTAGGCTGCCTGCTCCAGGTTCAGGGGACTCACCAGCTGCAGGCAGGAGCAGAAAAAAGCCACTCAGCAGCCCCCCAAACCAAGGGATGGCCTTTTCCTGCCTCATCATCACTGAACAGCCGCTCAAAGCATCCTGCTCGTGGCTGAACTGTCACCAGTGCAGTGACAACCCCCTGAGAAAGGTGACAAGGGAACTGCTGGCAGAGCTGATTCATTTGATCCCATTTTCCTCCCAGATCCCCAGGGCCTGTTCTTACCTCCTCCCCTTTTGCTATGATCTTCTTGTGGATCAGTGCATCCCGAAGAACAGAGCCATCCACTGCCAGCAGCTGCAAGCAGGATATTCAGTTCATTTATGGAGCTGTACATTCCATTTTCCTAAAATCCCAGCCCACTGAAACAACCCTTCATTTCCCTCTCACACTGAACAACCCTGCAGCATCAATCCCTCCCTTCCCTCCTTTCTGGAAGGGATAAGAGCTAACAAATGAATTGGCTGGAAGGAAGTGACCAAGCAAAAACACAAAGGTGGTTCTTTCTTTAAAACTCTTTTCCAGAGTCTATTCCAACCTCACTGCCTGAAGGTGGAAACCTCAAGGCAGTGGTGGGTCAGGTGGTAAAGAGAGAAGTTGTCAATTAAAGGGGTTTGATGATAATATTTGAATTTTATTTAGGTAAAATAAAAGTGAAATTTATGAGAACTTCTAAATCACAGTCTAAAATTATACAATGATACCAAGCTCAAAGTAAGGAATCCTTTACAGGTCAGCTTTCCTGTAATATCTCCTTCACTAGTGATACTCACCCTGGCCAGGTATTTAATCTGATTCTCTGTAGTGACCTGAGCATTTCCCTGCTCATCAGCAGCAAACTGGACATTCCCCAGGTGCAGGACACTGGCCACAATGCTCAGCAAATCCTGGCATGGGAGCAACAGGCGGAGATCAGGATGATGGAATGAACACACAGCGAGGTTCTGGTGTTAATTCACATTTTAGGAGAGCATTTTGTATCTTTCTTAGGATTTTTGTAGGGAATACATTCACTCTGAATTGATTCACACATTTCAATCAGGCAATCCCAAATTAAACAGAAAAAAAATCCTTAAAAGTAGGAAAATTTGTGCTGTTAAACCTCACCTCCACTTCACTGTCATTGAAGCCGATAACAGAGAGGGCTCGCCTCATAATCTTCCACTCATTTTTGTCATTTATGGAACTGACCCTTGCACAGTGACCCTAAAAAGATACAGTTTAATATAAAGAAGTAAATAAATCATCAAAGATACATTATCCATGCTCAATGCATTGTGTTTCTTTTTATAGCAGTCACCTCAGAGTTATTTCTGAAATGACAAAGTCAATTGGAGATATCCCGCTCCTGTAATATATTTTAAGAATTATAGTTAATGTTCACCTTTACTAAATAGTGATACTGCTGTGGGTTCTTCTCAAGGCCCAGCCTCCTCAGCAGATCCTCCTCCCCTCCTTCCAGCAGCTGGTAGAAGATGTGGAAGTTCCTCTCGCCGTGGTTCTGGTGCACAACTCGGGATTTCTCCAGGAGGTAGTTCAAGATGTGGCCCCCGACAGGAGCCCCCTAAACCAAACCAGACACGTGGAAAGAGTTCAGCAACACAGAGGAGAATGTTTCTGCTTCTTGGTTGTCTGCTCAAAGACAAGATCTGAAGCAAAAACCCACAAAAGGACAGAAAATGATCATTCTGAGCCACAAGCTCTGTTTGAGCTCCAGCATGGTGCTGATTTGAGTGCTAAAATTCCTTCCAGGAATTCACCACAAAGGAAAAGCACCACAACTGAGTGTGGAGGGTTAAAGGAGACCTAAAGGCCTGGAGGATGGCAGTGCTGAGCTCCTCAGCCCCTGCACTGTGTCCACCTTGCTGGTGTGGGGCAGCTGGGATCAGAGTGGACACAAACTCGGTGCAAAGTTGCAGGACAGGGATTATCTTCAGCTGGTTTATGTGGATTTACCTGGGGAGCATCCACTGGCCCAGTGCACCAGAAATAACATACCCTAGGAATAAATGGGTTTGATCTCACTGTCTCCTTGCACAGAGAAATAAGGAAGGAGTGAAAGGACAGTGAGAGCTACAAAACCCTCTGGACCCAAACTTTGCTACCACAGGCTCTGCTTATGCTGTCACCAAGGAAAAGCAAAGCACTCACTACACACACACACAATACAAGAGCACAGAGAACCCCTGTAACTGGGACCACTCCTGAAACAGAAACCAGATTCCAAGTTACCCTGTAATCAAACTGCACGTCCATGTACTTCCCAAACCGACTGGAGTTGTCGTTCCGAAGGGTTTTTGCATTTCCAAAGGCCTGAAATGAAAAGAATCAGAGAGGAATAAATGAGTACCAAGTTTGATTATTTATAAACACTTGGGTGAAGCTGCCATTTATTTATTTACAGCCTAGGATTTTCCTTCCTGGAAACTCGGAAGGAAACAGATTGCTCCTTGAATTCTAACACTGATCTTTACACCCCGTGCAAGCAGTGCAGATGGAACTTCCTCTGAAAACACTTCCATCCCCCCTGCAAGCTGATTTGAATGCCAGTCCACTGCTGACAACATATGTCACGTCTGACAGCCTTTCCCAAGCTTCCTCTGCCACCACAGCCGTCTGTCCCAGCTCGCTGCCAGAGCGGCTGCAGGGCTCTCCTGCTGCTGGGAGCTCACCTTTCCTGGGATCCAGGGAACAGGATCCAGGGGTACAGGGATGCAGGGCACAGGGATACAGGGATCCAGGGATCCAGGGCACAGGGATCCAGGGATATCTCAAGGCACTGCACACAGCTGGGGCTGGACACTAGAGGACACCACAGCACCAGAAAACAAACCCAGCCTTTCTGAGCTGCCCACTGGGATGTGCGCTTTTGCAGAGTCCTGCAGTGACCCAGAGCTCTTCCCACGCCAAATCCCCTCTTTCCCCGCACCCCATCCATGCCACAACTGCTCCTGGAGGGCTGGAAAGGGCCAGGATTGCTTTGGCCGGGAATCAGAGCGGGATTCCCTGGTGATGTGCGCACACAGCATTCCCAGGACACACTGTCACCGCCCCAGGGAGTCCCGCTGTCCCCAGCGCCGGGAAACCGGAGCATTCCCAGGGCCAGGACTCGGTGGGGAGGTACCTCCAGGACGGGGTTGGACTGCAGCAGCCGGTCCTTGACGGTCTCGACCTGCTGGCTGGCGGGGCAGGTGACAGCGTAGTACTGCAGGATCTTCTTGGTGGCCTCGGTTTTGCCGGCGCCGCTCTCGCCGGAGATGAGGATGCACTGATCCTTCCTCTCGGTGCGCAGCGAGCGGTAGGAATTGTCTGCGATGGCGTAGCTGGGAAGGGACAGCCGGGATCAGGGTGTTTGCCTGTGAAATCCCAGCAGAGACATCCCCCAAAACAGCCCCAGGCCATGGGCTGGGTGAGATCACACAGCTCTGTACCCTGGTGACAGCACAGGACAGCACCGACACCGCTGGGCACACCCCAACCACCCAGCCAAGGTTCTGCAGGCTCATCACACAAATTGTCAAATCCTTTGAGACTGCTCTTTTCACCTTTTTTTTCTGACAAAAAAGGGTAGAAATCAACTGAACAGTGCAGATCAATGGGCTTTTCTAAATATAAATGATCTCTCAACACTGGTCCCATGGGACAGAAGAGTTTTACACTCGGGAAACACCTTGTTCTCCACTGGTATTTTTTCTTGCTTATCTTCTAAGTGATGACACATTCAGAAGGTCACAACAGAATTTTGCTATCTGGGTGGCTCCAGAGCTTCTCTCAGATGGTGGGAAGAGCTGGAAAAGCCACCACAGATTGTGGAGCACCCTGCAGGTCCCCTGTGCCCCACACACCAGGCACTTCCCCCGCCCGCACAGTCTGGCCCTGCCCTTCTGCTTCCTCCTTTGCTGCTTTTTCTTTCATTTCTGTGTTGTGAGCAGACAGGATCTCACAGCCCGAGTCACACACACTCCTACAACACCAGAGAGCAGCAGGGGATGAGTGACAATGGTGACAACTGCTCAGGGGGAGAGGAAAAGGACAACCACATCAGATACCCTCCCTAACAACATCTGCAGCTCTCACACACATGTGGTGAGCAAGCAGGTATTCTGTCTTCGTGCACCTGACAACCCTTTAATAGCTTGGCTTTTTTTTATTTTCATTTTTTCTTTATTTTTTTTTAACTTTCCTGCTGTGCTATTAATTAGAAGTAATCACACCAAAATAACAGCCGTGGCCTTGTCGAGTCTATTAATACTTGGTGCTAAGGCAACACCAGTGAGCTCCCTTAGCAACACAACTCACCTCACAAAATACATCATGTCCCTCTCTTCCCATCCAGATCCTGCCTCTGGAGTCTTTTGGAAAACAGCTGAATAAATGCAAATTTAATTTGGATTTGAAGAAGTGCCTCTGGCCCCCCTGTGCCTTTATGGGGGGGGTTTATGGCCCTGAGAGCTCCAGTCACACACAGACAGAATCACTGTAAATAAAGATATTTATGCTCCCATTTGCAGGCCATAAACAGGACAGGATGTGACAGATCTCTGGGAATATGCTGTGATCCAAGCCCATAGAGATAACTTTCCTCCTCTGAGTGTGATGCACTTCCCAGAAAATCCAGTGCTCAGCCCTGCACTTGAACTATCTGCCACTGGAATAGAGATCTTGAACTGTTTTGACCTTCTAGAGTCAGTTTAGAAGAGGAGAAAGAGGAAAAAAAGACACCTGAGGAGTGTGCTGGAAAAGGAGAAGCCCAGAGCACTACGCTGCATTTTGATGCTCCTCGCAGGATTTTTAAATGCATATACAATCAAATAGTGCAATAAAATAATCAAATAATGCAGTGGAACAGCAAAAAGAGTTAACAAAAAACTGTTTTCCCAGTGGGAGCAGCAGTTTCCAGGATCACAGTTCTCCAGGGTTCACTTATGAGCTGCACATTTTACAGCTTCTGAAGGGACTTGTTAAAAGGAGAAAGAAAACCTAAGAAATAATCAGCTACACTGTGATTTAAGTGGAATTAAAGCACATATGCTCAGTGCTCTGTGCTTTCCCTGAGCATTGTCATCATCCTGTATCTACTGCATACTTAAAAACAGAGCCACAGTCCCAAGGACTTTCCAGAGAGTCCCAAAATTCACCTTTGAGGGCACAGAAGCCCTTCCCTGACCACAGGCAAGGTGAGCTGAGCAGGTCTGAATGCAGGGTTTTGCAGGTTTAATTCTCCCCCATCTGGGTTCACACAGTAAAAATCACATTTCTGTCCTAACAAATCCAGCTTCAAGCACTGAGACTTTCACAAGTAATGGTGTTTCTCCCCCTCTCTGTGCTTGCAGCACATTCTGGTTTGTTTACTCTCCTGGGCTATGTGCCAGCAATAAGAAACAACCCAAATAGTTTGCTCAAAAATAATATAATTTACTCCTCCAAGATTTCAAAAATAAAAACCCAACAAAACACAACACAACATAAAAAACCCTCCAAGAGGTGCTCAGAATTTGGCTCTTAGTCCTGAAAAAAAACCATTTTGAAGCCATGTGGCCTCAGCTCTCAGTCATCTTTTTCTTTCAGCCTGACAAAAAAATTCAAACGCTTTCAAAAATAACTTTAAACCTCAAACTTTTTTTTTTTTTCTTTTTTTAAATGGGAAATTGGGAATGCTCACCAAGCCAGACCATGTAAATAAATACATTCCTTGTTCCAACAGGCTGATGGTATCTTAGCAACAAGGGAAATACCAGATAAATATTGGTCAGGCAGTAACAGCAGAGGTAGGAAAGAAACCCCTACACACCAGAAAAATCTTTCCCCTGCTTAGCCCCAGACACAGAGACCCCAAATAACCCTGGAACAATGAACTCCTGTCCTGCCAGGGCTGGGTAAGCAACTCTGCAGCCAGGAAGGAACCAACTCCCTTTCCAAATACTGCTCCTGCAAAGGCAACTCATCCTCTTTGGAGAGAGGAACAGGAATAGAAAGAGCCTCACACCACACCCTCCAGAGGATCCTCGCTATCCCTAGGATTGCCAGGGCTGCAGCTGGGACAGGGATAAGTTCTGTTTGTCTCTTTTCACGTGTCCCAGCTGTGTGGGAGTGACAAAACCCGCGCTGGCACCCACTCACAGGTGAGGAGAAACTTCATAGAAGCTGACGCCGCGGTACCGCTCCATGTTCTGCTTCGTGTAGATTTCCAGTTCCTTGTAAGGATTCACAGACACCAGCACAGAGCCAATGTAGGTCTGAAAAACAGAACAAAATGCAGGTTACAGGAGGTCTGGAGGCAGAGCTCAGGTGTGCCAGGAGGCTGGACACCCATCCTGGTGTGCTGGGGATGCTGCTGAGGGCTTCCAAACAGGGCAAGGGTGCTGAGGAAGAGAACCCTCAGCTTTGGGAGAGTGACACTGCAGGAGTTGTGCCAGCCATGCTATCCTTGCTGGGTAAAAAGTACCTCAAATGCTTTTAGGGTTTCCAACAAGCCACAATACCGGGTTATTTCTGGTACACATTTCGGATGGAGGTCAAGTCTGGGGTTGGTGGAAGTGAGTGAACCCAGGAGATGGAAGAATGCGGTGAGGGTTGGATTTTCAGGGCTGTCAGTGCCACCAGATCTCAACAGGAGCACTGCAGTGCATCCCTACACCCATCAAATGCCAGCACCCCAGACTGGTCCTGGCACAAACACCCATGGGCTGTGTCAGCTGCCACCACCACCTCCAAACACCGCTGCAGAGCAAAGCCGGGATTGTCCCGTGCAGCAAACACGCTCCAGGTCACTGAGGGACACCATGGTCACTGTCCCTGTGCTACTCACATAGATCAGGTTCTCCTTGAAGCGTTTCCTCAGGTTTTCAATGAATGCAGCTTCGCTGGTGAAGTTTTCCAGCAGGACAAAGTCCTGCACCCCGACACGGTCCCGGGCCGTCAGAGCGCTCTCCATGGTCAGCCGGATGCCGTTGGCTCCCAATCCCTGCAGCCAGAAGCACAGGGAAGTTGGGATGACTGTGGGTTTGCAGGCAGTTCCCCAAGTCCACAAGAACCACAGTTACCCTTGGATAACCATATTAAAATGAGATATTAAAGTGGGATATTAAAATAATCCCACTGCTGCTGCTGAAAACAGTGATTACAACACTTTATCTGTTGTCTGCTCAAATTGCTTTGAGGGAAGACAAGTCAGCATTAGGGAAAAATTACTGCTACATTTCCAATAACTTCAAATCAATCAGAGAAACAAACATTTGATAAAGAGAATAAAATTTGGATTTCCTTTCCTAGGCATCCATTAGCAGGAGGGAGACTGAAATGTGTTCTCTCCTCTCTGATTTCACAACGGGAAGCTGTTTCGAGGTAAAGAATCTTTTATGACTAATGATGATTCACCTCAGAAGCAAACAGCTTCACATTGCTGACCAGTTTAAAGCTTTAGCAAGTCACCCAATGGGAAAATTCTGAGAAAATTGAGAAGAAATGAGAAATGGGCATTTCTGCATTCTGCACCCCACACCACTGAATTTAGACCATGACACTGACGTGCATCGAGAGACTCCTACCCCCGACCCTCTTTTAAAGGTTACATTTTCAACGTGACGTGGGTGAGACACAACCATCTGTGGAAAGCTCTCATCTGCTGATCCCTGACTTCACTGTAAAGCAGGGAGGGGAAATTTGCACCCAGAGGTGACTCAGTGGCTGCTTTCTGGGGAAATCTCTGCTCAAGGGACAGAGAAGGAGAAGATGAGAGGCACCACAGAAACCAGAGACAGGAGAAACAGCGTGTGAAACCCTCTGTCTCACACCTGCCTGCGTTTCCTTATCTCCCTCAGCCCTTCTTTGCCAACTGCTCACAGCAGCACCTTTGTGTGCAGGTCCCTAAAGCAGCTCGTGGCTCGGCTCTGGGGCACGAGGCCACTCAAAATGATGATGATGCTGGGACAGGTTCTTGTTTGGAGATCCAAAAGCTGGTTTATTAAGGTGCAGCTCCCAGCAAAATCCAGGGACAAGAGCAAGGATGGGCTGAGGGTCCAGGATTATATACGAGGGGGTGTTTTGGAGGGCTAGGATCCAACGGGAGCAGGGGAAAATGGTGCACAGGTTCAGGACAGGGACAACCACTGGGGATTGACAGGTTGGGGCAATGCACCAAAACAGGACCACCAGGGGTTCAAGGAAGGGAGAACATTCTGCAGGGTACACATAAATGGGAAATGGGGGCTGAGCAGGGGTGGTCAGGGCCAACAGGATAGCAGAGCCAGGAAGGAATTGACATCTGAATGCAAAGACCTGTGGGAGAAAGGCTTCTCTCACCCCAACCACGGGAGGTATTACTTATTACAGCCTTTCCAGGGTTGAGGATTTTAGTAACTGGCCCTTGGGCCCTCACATTTCTCCTAAACCATGTCCCTGAAGCACTAAGTGATATTCTGGGATGTTGCACAAACACCAGAGGGGTCTGTTCCTAAGGCAGGCTCATGCATCAACAGCAGTCCCAGACACCCATCACAAACTGGGAATGCCAGACCCTCACAAAGACGTAGATGACTTTTACTGACTCACAGAGTTCCTTTCTGCACCTTCCCAAGATGTAGAAGTAGTCAAACCACAGGGACTGATGACATGCAGGGAGAAAAATAAACCCAGCCTTGGTCAGGAAGAAAATCTACTTGAAGTTTTGTTAAACAGTAATAAAAGCAAGAATCACTGAAGTATCAGTTTGGGTCAAAACAGGCGCAAATCCCTTCAGTCTGCAGTAGGTTTGACTCACCCATTTCTTGGTAAATGTTTTTTTGATTTGGTAAATGATTAGTAAATGCAGTTTTGCCTATTTCTGTGAGTTCTAATTGGCTTCCTCCCTGTAAGCCTGAGCAGAAGTGATTGCCTGAACCCAGCAGTTTTCAGAGAGGAAAATTAGTTCCTTCTGGAAATCTCAAATCCAGACCCGCTCTAATGGCTCAAACGCCACAAAGAAACATCATTTGATTTCCTGGTTTATTTTTTCCAATTAGTCTCATGGTCTGGAAGGCCTGAGCTCTAAGCTTGGAAAGATCCAGCCTGGGAGGAATTCTGCAGATACTGTCATGAAGTAATCATTCTAAAATGGCCAAGATTTTCCAAGCCAAGTCCTTCACAGCTTCAGCAAAATGCTCTGTCGTCTTCTACCCTTTTTGCCAAGGTGAGGAGAAAAGGGATTACCCTTGGAGAAGGAGGGTAGTGAGATAAGGAAAGGAAAATAGAGATAAATCACATGCAAATAAACTCTGCCTAGAAATTAGAATCCTTCTATCAGAGCAGTGCAGTCCTGGAGCAGATTTTGGCCAAGATGACGAGAACAAAGGCAAAACCAATGGAAAATAACTCCTTTTCAAGTGGGTAAGTTTACAACTACGGTCCTAAAGCACAGCTGCCTCAACAAGGACTGAGGAGAAACTTCCACCCTCGCACAGTTAATCCCAGTTTATATAATCCTGAAAACTTTCACAAAAAACGTCACTTCAGCAGCTCTTTCATCAGCCCCTCCCCTGCAGGCCAGGACAAAATGATCCCAGCTGTGCACATCCAGGAGAGGGAAGAGCCAATCCATCCCCCTCACAACACAGAAAACTCCACTCCAGCAGCCTCCTCTGGGACAGGCATTTAAGGCCAAGAACTTTCGGTTTCCTCCACTTTTTGTCTCCTCATTCAACTCCAACCTCTCGCCGTGAGAACAAAATAACGATCTCAAATCTGCAGCCAGCTTGAAACAGAACAAAAGGCAAACCAACGCGACTGAAAGCGGCTTTTTGGTGATAATTAAATGTGCCCAGGGGATGTGATGCAGTCAGAGCCTCCAGAATATAAACTTTACTCTTGTACCCTCCCAAGCCCTGAGTTCAGTGCAAATATAAAGCCAGAGCTGAGCAATAGGCACTGCTCCATGCCAGCATTTTGCTTTATTGCATATGTCCAAGTCTACCAGCAGCTTCAAATGTCAGTGTTAACTGTTTCACTGCCACTGACATCAACAGATGGGCCATAAAAGGAGGTGAAAATGAACCCTTTTTGCAAAATGGAAACAGAACAGTCATGCAGAAGGAAGGAAGTGGGGAGGGAAGGCACTATTAAGAAAAAATAATCACAGTGATGACCATATGTTCCTGCTGAATGATGAATGTGACAGTAAGGCACTGAATAAATGAAAATAACCAAAATGTTGGTGATTTTCTGTTAGCAGGCAGACACCAGATCTGGTGGCTGTAAATTAATGCTAGAAAACCCAGTCTGGGGGGGTTAAATGTGGTACAGTGGAGCTAATTAACCATTAAAGCAGTTTGTCTATGGACAGCACTGATTCCCTGATTGTCTTTGCAGGGGATGAATTTCTTTGTGCCAAACCACCTCTGACTGATGTACATTTACAATATCCTCTGCTCCAGGTATGAGATCAGCTTGGAGCACTCTGAAAGCCCTGTGGCAGGGAGTATGTTCCAGATATTTGGGAGAACACAGGCTATGGGGGTCTGATCAGACCCTTCCTAATGAAAATCAGTTTTTCTGGAAGCTGCTAGGAGAGCGCAGTCAGAGAGGAGCTGCTGTGACACTGAGGAAGGACCTTTGCAGCTGCATCCTCTGGTTTGCACTGGCCCAGGACTTGTGCAATAAACCAGGCTGGAAATCTGACAGGGATTAAAACTATCTCAGATTCTTTGATGGTTTTAATCCAGGTCATTTTCCCACACTGGTCCCACGTGTAATGATGATGGCCAAGGATAGGGTAATGGGGAACCACAGCAGGGTCAGGGAGGAGCCAGGATTCAGCAGCAGGGCCAGTTCCTGATGCCTTGAAATGCTTGGGAAGCTTCCACCTAAGAGGCAGGTCCGGGTTTAGCTAAAGCTCAGCATCAAATCCCTCCTCTGGGCTTTGCTGCCCCCCTGGCAGCAGGTAACACCTCCAAACCATACCAGTGCAACTCAATCAGCAAAACAAAGACCAAGAAAAAAGAATCTGCTGGTTTTCTCACCAGGTTTTGAACTAAATCACCTCCCTGTGGAATTGGGAGATTGTCAGAGCCAGGGAAAGGAGGGAAGGGACCACAGGTGCCCCTCTAACAGTTATTTAGGGCAGCTCCACCACGTCCACCTTATAGGTCCCCTATAGGGATCAAAAGCAGGGCCCAGCTGAGGATCCTGACCTTTGTAGGATGGAGGCACCCAATGCCACACCCAGCACAGGCTGCAAACAGGGAATGGCAAAAATCTGAGCAACCTCCACGTGATCCTGGTGGGCTCAGGAGTGCCTGTGCCTCCTCTCAATCCTTCTGCTGGACCCGCTGTCCTGAGGGTCACTCCCAGAGTGCCCAAACTGATTTTGTCACCACAGTTCCCAAAGCCACCCCATGGTGAAGTTTCCAGGGATTCTTTCCCACTCTGTTTTAACCCACTCTTTGCTTTTAATGTCTTCTCCAGAGCCTTGAGCACAACAGTGGCTCGAGGCCAGGAAGGGAAAAGTCCCTCTGGAATGGTGGGGACCAGGCCAGTGCAATCAGCACCACAGCACTGCTTCCACATGGCTTCTTCTGCCCTGAGATTAAATTTTGGGAAAGATTTTCCACTGGTGTAAATTGGTTGCTGAATGCAGCTTGCAGAGCCAGGTTTACATTGGCTGGGATTCCAGCTTTTCTTTGTGTTCATACAAGAGTCAACAAGACCAGAAAATACCTCCAAACTCCTGGGAGTACAAAACCACTCAAGACTGTACCAAGGAGTTTCCTAAACTGAACTGGGAAATCGCTGACATGGGATTGTGAAGGTGTAAACACATACTTTTCCTTTAAACTCTGATTAATGCCAAAGCATGATAAAGTTTTTCCTCTGCTTAGGACATGGAGAACTAATACACCTCAGAAATGAAAAACAGGACCTTTTGCTCTGCACAGCAAAATCCAAAGGATTCGAGTCAGCCGGGCTGGGCACTTTGGGGGAATTTGTGCTGAA